TCGTGGAGGCGCGCCACCAGAAGATCAACAGGATCCTGGCGAGCTACTGCAGCTCGCACCCTGAGCGCTGGGCGCGCTGGGTACCCTTGGCGCAGTGGTGCCTTCGCGCGACGCCGATGCCTCACCGCTCTGGCAGGTCTGCCTTCGAGATCGTGACTGGCATGCTGCCGCAGGGGCCGATCGAGGAGGTCTTCAGGAGGCTCGAGCCAGGCAAGGCGCTCGAGCCCGGCCACTACGTGCGCGACCTCATCGAGCACTTGGAGTCGACGCACGCCACGGTGGCCAGGGAGATCAAGGCGGCCCACGACGAGGAGCAGCACGCGCGCGCACTGCAGGAGCCGGGCGCTCGGGAGTTCCAGAATGGCGACGCAGTCCTCCTCCGCGCTCCGCCCGCTTTGGTGGCCCGCGCGATCGGTGCGGTGGACGATGCTTCGACGAGGCTGCTGCCGAGGTTCCGCCCCAGGATCTACCGCATCCACAAGATGGCAAGCCCGCAGTCCGCCATTTTGGCAGACCCAGATACGGGCAGCACGTCACTGGGCTTCAGTCAGCCCGTGCACGTCGACAGGCTGAGGTTCTTCGAGCTCGCCGAGCTGGACGTTCCGATCAAGGACGAAGAGCTGCAGCTGGAGATCATGAAGGGCAGCGCCTGGGTCAGGCACAACGTTATCAGCCAGTCGGCGACTGGCCGCGTTGAGATCGTGCGAAGCGACGACGTGGACGGCAAGTCCGAGTGGGTCGACCTGGCGACCGAGGAGTACCGTTGGTTGTACCCGGTCGTGAGCGAGCCGGCTGCTGGTGCCGCCCCTGCGCGCCGCCGATTGCGAGTGACTTGAGAGGCAAAGAATGCTTCGGCACAGGTCGAGGGCTAGGGGGATGTTGGGAATCATTCTGCACAATAGTAGTATCCCTCTCCCAATGCCTCCTCTCATTATTTGCACGTCGTGTGTCCAGTTCTACATTTGTATTCTAGAAGCGTGTTTGTTGCACCTAGGACTTATTAGTCATTATATTTGCATTCAGTGCAGTTCGTTTCGTATTTCTGGCGAGTCTTGGGTGCGTAGGTGCACTTTTGGGCGAGCCAGAACCATCTGAGCATATGTGCGCGAATGGTTTTTAGGATCATATGTCTGACCATTTTCTGCTGTAGTTGTCCGTTCTGGGCCCCAGGACCTGCAGATCGAGGTCCGGGATGTTCCGCAGTGGAATATCCCCGTGTTTAGAGGTCCTGGGCCCTCCTACAGCATGTTTTCGGCCTTGGGGACCTTTTTCAGATATCATTTCTGAAGGGTCCCCGAATGCATATTTTGAGAGCGGTTTTCCTAGAACCTGAGACGCTTTGCCTGGCAACGGGCATCGTCTCCAGGGCGCTCTGGTGAGACTGGGCGCGGCAGCGTGACCAGGCTCACCTCAGACCCTGTGCAGGTTGTACTGTTTCACTTTTGGCTCAAGTCCGACCGAGACGTCGGCATCGTGTCTCTCGTTAGCGTATGGGAAAACGACGGACCCGTACCATCGAGAGTGCCGCCGATCGTCACGAGAAGCGTGTGGCTGTCAGTTTGGATTCGTGGCTGCGTGGGGTGTTGTGGAATCTGCCGCCGAATCCTCGATTCGTGAACCCTTACCCGGTTTCCCAGTTGGCTGTGGTAGGGCACCTAGAGTTGATTGAAGCAGAACATTCGCTCATTCGCAGGATTCGAGATTTTTTGTTTGGTACCCAGCTGCCAGGGTGCAATGTTCCTCGGAGAGCTTGGTCTGATTCCCTTGATATAGCCACGAACATTTTCTTTTTTATTGTTTTTTTTTTTTTTTTTTTTTTTTTTTTTTTTTTTTTTTTTTTTTTTTTTTTTTTTTTTTTTTTTTTTTTTTTTTTTTTTTGTTTTTTTTTTTTTTTTATTTTTTTTTTTTTTTTTTTTTTTTAGTTTTTTGTGTTATCGTTGTTTTTTTTTTTTATTTTTTTTTTTTTTTTTTTTTTTTTTTTTTTTTTTTTTTTTTTTTTTTTTTTTTTTTTTTTTTTTTTTTTTATTTTTTTTTTTTTTTTTTTTTTTTTTTTTTTTTTTTTTTTTTTTTTTTTTTTTTTTTTTTTTTTTTTTTTTTTTCCGTGCCTTCCTTATCGCATATTTTTTTTCTTGTCTTGGGCTTTGTTTTCCTTTCTTTTTCGTTTGTTTCCTGCTTGGTTCGCTGCCTGCTGCTGCCGTCGCTCGTCGTTCCCCGTCCTCCTGCCCTTCCCCTTTCTGCTCCATGTGGCCGCCTGCGTGGAGCGCAGGGCGTGCGCGCTGCGCGTTTGCCGTGCACGTGGGCTTATGTCCCTTTCCCCCCTGTTTCCCCCTCCCCTTTCCCTTAGCTCTTCTTTTTTTCCTCTATCTTGCTCTCCTGTTGCTCTCCCGCTGCCCTTTCTAGCCGGCTCTGGCGGCCCTGTTGGGGACAGAGTTTCTCTCTTGCCTTGAATGTAATGTTAGATGTGGCTTGGTGAAGATAACAATGTTGTAGAGGTCCGATCGAAAAAAACATTGTGACGTTGAGAATCTTCGAGACGTTTTTGAATGTTTGCAACGAATGAATATGCGCGGCGTTGAGGCGATAATCACATTTTCAAAAAAAGGTACCGCGTTTGATTTGTGAAACTCTTGCAAAGTGTAAAAAGCAGAAGTACGCAGCGTTGTTGCGAAAACCACATTTTGAATGCCATTCGCTTTCCATCCGAAACGCACAACATTTTAAGACATATTGTTGCGGCGTTGAAACGCGGGCCACATTTTGACAATGATAACGCGCCCGCCCTTTCGACCATTCGGGGTGTAACAGAGGGGTAATTTCGAAGGAAAAGGAATTGAAGAGGAGGAGGAGGAGGAGGAGGAGGAGGAGGAGGAGGAGGAGGAAAAGGAGGATGAGGATGAGAAGGAGGAGGAGGACGAGGAGGAGCGGTGGCCAATGAGGATAATGAGGGGGAGGTGGAGGAGGACGCGGGGTCACAGAATGTGCGGAACAGGGGGGGGCCGACGTCGAATTGCAATTTTTTGAGGCCATGGCCGTGCGACGCAGCATCGTTTCTTTTCGTATGTGCCGTGGGCCAGCATGTCCGCCGTGAGGATGCGCGTTCTCGTAGGTTTTTCGGGCCTCGGGTTCTGCAGAACAGCATCGTCACTTCTTGGACATGGGCGTGCGCGTTTGAACGGCTGTTGTGTCAGAGCAGGGCCGGAACACAAAGTTTGGGCTCGTCTTGCCAGTGCTGCGTGGAGTTACAGAAATGACGATCGGAGGTCGCCGTGGGCGGGGGCAAAAATAATCTCTGGGCGACAGGGTTCCGTGTGGGATCGTGCAGAGGGCTTTTTCGCGGCCCACCTGCACCGTTTGCGGTGTTTTTCTTTGCCGTATTGGCGCCATTTTGGGCTGGGTGAGCCCCTTGTTGGGTCATGGCGCGTTGTTGGATTGGTTTGGGCCCACGTGGGCGTTCTCTTGGGATATTTGACGGGTTTCCCAGCGCCGCCTGGAGCCGTCGTGCGTCCTCTTTGGGGCCTCTTGGCCCGTCTGAGGGCCATGGTCTCCGAGGCAGGTTGCCCGAAACGTGAATTTCCCCAGAGGAATGGAGCCATTTTGCTTTACGGAGGTTCTCGTGGGGTTGGAGCTTTCTGAGGGCGTCTACGGGGCCTCTCGGGGCCCTCCTGGACGTCTGCGGCGCATTGTGGGCCGTATTTCGGCCATTCTGGCTCGGGTGGGGCCCTTGTTGGGCCGTCAGGGGCCGGTTTGAGCTGTCGTGGGGCCTTTTCGAAATCCTCTTGGGGTATCCTGGGCGTCTCTTCGGCTTGTTTGGGGCCGCTGGGAGCCGGATGCCATGTTAAAGGCCTCTTGGACCGTCTTGGGTCGAAGGCTCAATCTTTGACGCAGTTTTTCGACATGTCAGTTTTCAAGATGGAATGGGACAGTTTCGGCTTGTTGGGGCTCTCGTGGAGCTATCGGGTGGCGTCTTGGACGCTACATGGGCTGTTGTGAAGCTATATCGGGGCGACGAGGTGCCGTTTGGGATCGCCCAGTAAACTCAAAACCATGTCGAAACCATGCATGCCGCCCAGGAATACTTTTGAGGTGGTTGAGTCCGCCGACCCTTTTCGGACAGACCCTCCCTCCTTCCAAAGCGGGTGGACGGACCCTCCCGGGGAGGGGCTTGGGCTGAGGCAACAGTCTCACACGCCGTAGACCCCAAGAGGTCGGCGGATAGTTTAATTTTGGGGATCATTCCATTGATCGGCAAACGGCTGTCGTTGTGTGGTGGTCAAGCTCTCGTCGATCAGCATAGCGGCGCGGCCGAGTGGCTTCTTGGTTTCGTCATTTCTCCCGCGGCGAAGGTCTGCGAGTCACTCGCTTGCCAGCGCCCCCGCGTAATTGTTCCGCCGCTGCACTCTGAGGGGGACACCCACGAATCGGTGCGCGACATAATTATATTGCATATCGTAGTTCGTCCCACATTTCTTGTATTGTCTAGTTTCCTTCGAAGTTTACACCATATATCTTGCACAACCTTGCTCTCACCACAGAGCTTACACCACATTGATTACATCACATCGCTTTCACCATGTAGCTTCTGCCACATAGCTTACACCTTATAGGTTACACAGCACAGTTCACCACACAAACTGTACTACAGAGCATACACCACTCATATTGTAACTCGTAGCTTGCATCATACAGTCTGCACCACATAGCTTAAACCACATCCTTGCACAAAACGTCTTGCAACACATAGCTTTCACAAAACTTTCACCACATAGCGCGCACCACATGGCGTACATTGCGTGAACTTCTTGGCCTACATATACTGCGCATCGAAAGTGCAATAACTCATTGTTTGGGATCGACGCTGTCAACCATCGTCATAACGTACAATACAGAAACGCACACATGCACTTTGCGGCGATAGCAACGGATTTTGAGATGTTTTGCAGTGAACGCTTTGTCGTCATCACGTGATCATTTTGTTTAGTGGTACACGCGCGCCGACGTTGGCTCAGACATTCATTGTTGGCATCTGACCGCCTTGTTCCTTTCCGATTTCATCACTTGGCATCGAACCTCATTTTAGTTCAAAGGACTCCAGTTTCAGTCTTTCAGGATGTGCGGATCTTAGCGTTCTTGATCATTCTTTTATTTGCGTCGCGCGGAACATTGGAGATTGTGTCAGGATGCGTCTGTACAGAAATGCTGAAACACTACATTGACAAGGCGGAAAGCAATAGGATTGAAAATGGGTTCAAGAGTCCGCGCGAATTGATTGGAGTGTGCCCCGTGGTTCAATTTGCATTGGTCCATGCGTGCGCGGTGCACATTAAGCAGTGGAGTCTGGTGCTGGTTGTCCTTTCTCAGACGCTGTCTAAGCGCTGCCCGCGCAGATCTGTGACCTGGACCGATGTCTTGATTTTTTGTTCGCCTCGTGTGGCTTCGGCCAGACCTCTTGACTGGGACCTTCTCCGCATCTTGGAATCTTGGACCGTTGTCTCTGACTGCCCTTGGGCCTGAAACAACGGCCTCGGGAGGCCCGAAGCGAGGAAGAGCCCCGGCCGCCATGCTCATGTTTTGCTTCTACCGTGGCGCGCCCTGGGCCCGTGGCCGAGCCCTCGGGGCAGCACTCGCGCCTCACCGCTTTCTTTCGAGCGCCTTCCCGCGACTCCCCTGCGCAGGCCTGTGTCGACGAGAGCTGCGCTGCGCACTCACAGTGCGCTTGTGCCGCGTCGGCGCTGGCTGCGACCCCGGCGTGGGCGTTCGAGGTTGAGCGCCGCCAGAGGCCTGGGATTGGTCGCGGAAAGCCAGGGTTCTTCGAGGTGGAGCGATCTGCGCGGTCTCGCGAACCAGCGCTGGCGCCGTCGCGACGCGAACCTGCAGCGCGCTCGGCCCGGCCTGGCCAGGCTTGTCCCGGGGCCCTGGATGAGCCTGGCCAGGGTCTGGGTACATGACGAGCATGACGAGCAGCTGGTGCCCTCCTGCAGGGCCGTCGTCCGCGCGGCCCCGGGCCTTTTGCCCAGTTTCTGCCGTGCCTTCCTCGCACCGCCCTCGTTTGCCCCCCTGCGTCTCCCTGGAACCACTTACGACCCCTACCTCTGAGAGCCCCGTCAGTGTTGGGGTATCGGATATCCCTGCAGGCGTGGGTCTGTTATCTGGCCGCAGACATCCTTCAAATTCGACGGGCTTGCAGAGATCTGGCCTGCAGGTGTCGGCGTCATTTGCAGTTGCCTAGCTCGAGACATGCCCCCCGTTCCTCTCCCTCCAGTCCTCAGCTAGGGGCCCTCCTGCCGCCTGCTCTCTCCCCCTCCCCTCCTCCGCTGGCCCCGCTCCGCCTCTTCCTCCTGCTCCTCCTCCTCCTCTTCCTCCTCCTCTTCCTCCTCCTCCTCCTCCTCTTCCTCTCCTCCTTCTTCTCCTCATTTTCCCCCTCCTCCTTCCTCCCTCCCCTTCTCTCTTCTTCCTTTCTCCGCCTCCCTGGGACCTGGGACCCTCTCTTTCTAGTCTCCGTCATTCCCCCCTCTGTTGCTTCGTCACCGTCTTGGTTTCGGCCTGGCCTGGCCGTCGTCACGGGCTGACCAGCTCGCACTGAGGAGGCGGGATGGAGGGGGGAGGGAGAGGAAGGGAGGGTCGGTATCGTTTAACCAATCCCCATCCCCATCCTCATCCCCTTCGAGACCCCCACCACATTACCACCCCAGTTGGGGATACACCCCTCGAAACCTGAAGGGAAGGCCCATATTCCCATCTAGGAGAGTAAATCAGTCAGTGGGGCCCAGGCCACGCTGTTGGGGATGGGGATCGGTTCAACGATTCTCAGAGGGATGTGGTTGGGTCAGGTGTTTTTCTCTGTCGCCGCGAGTGGATCCACCTTGAGGTTCTGGTCAGAACGCGCTCCAGGACAGGTTCAGGGATGGATTTTGAGGAGGGGTGGATGGAGGGAGGAGGAAGGAAGAGCGATCGGGGTCCTTCCAAGAACCGTTGAATTCCCGCAGAGCCATTTTGAACCCCGCAAGAGCTTGGAGTAATTACGTCCCTCCTCTCTCCTCTTTCCACATCCTCTTGGATGATGACGAGACGGATAAGGAAAAGGACCAGGACGAGGATGAGGCCACGGACAAAGAGGAGGATGAGTTTCAAGACTGATGCGTTCCAGCATGCGAGCCTCGCGGAGGGCGGTGCCTCCTTGCGGCTTGGGGGTAGGCCCCGCCTACTGGGTCGGAGAGGCTGACACAGGAGGGCGGGCCTCCCGTTTGCGGTGTGGTCTTGGCCCCCGTTCGGGGACGCGACGACGCTCGCAAACGAGCTCTCGCCCTCCTGCCGCTTCGGCTTTCCCCCCCCACTCCCTGAAGCCCTGGGGGGCGGTGTGCCATGGGATGGAGGTCTCTCCCCTCCTCCTCCCTCCCCCTCCCCCTCCTCCTCCTTCTCCTCCTCCTCCTCCTCCTCCTCCTCCTCCTCCTCCTCCTCCCCTTTTCCTTATACGAATAACTCCTCTCTGTCGCACCCCGAGACGTGCTGGTAGGGCTTGCCAGGCGTTTCGCTTGAGACTTCCCCACCACTTATGACATTTGATCTTTCACTTGGTAACAGTTTCACGGATGGAGGGCGGGTGTTTTTCAAAATGTGGTTTTCGTTTTGGCGCCGCCCACATTCCTTTTTAAAGCTTGCAAGAAGTTCACGGATGGAAGACGGCTCCCTCTCAAAATGTGACTCTCGCCTTAGCGCCGCGCACATTCGTCTTAACAATTAGTTCATATCAGTTTCGAGGATCTTTTAGGGTTGACGTTCCAGGAAGGGTGTTCTGGCGCGATGTAGGATCGTCAGGACGCAACAGTTATGTTGATTCGCGGACGTGAAGTATCGAGTTCAGGGCTTCTTTTTTATTTTTTTTTTTTTTTCTTTTTGTTTTTTTTTTTTTTTCTTTTTCTTTTTATTTGTTTCTATTTTTTTTTTTCTTTTTTTTTTCTTTTTTTGCTTTTCTTTTTTTTTTTTTTTTTTTTTTTTTTTTTTTTTTTTTTTTTTTTTTTTTTTTTTTTTTTTTTTTTTTTTCTTTTTTTTTTTTTTTTTTTTTTTCTCTTTTTTTTTTTTTTTTTTTTTTTTTTTTTTTATTTTTTTTTTTTTTTTTTTTTTGTTTTATTTTTTTTTTTTTTTTTTTTATTTTTTTTTTTTTCTTTGTTTTTTTTTTTTCTTATTCTTTTTTTTTTTTTTTTTTTTTGTTCTTCTGGCGCGTTCAGGACCGTCAGGGCGAAATAATAACGTTGATTCGCGGCATCGTAATCCCAATGATGATGTTCTGGCTCGGTTCAGAGTTTTCAGACGGCTTTCTTCCAACGGAGCATCTCCCTCAGTGACCATGAATCTTTTTAGGGAGACCTATGAAGATGGACTCCGGAGTGAGGGTTGATTGCAACTTCGTTGATGGGTCTTGGGTTTACCTTGCTCGTTCTCATTTTCTTCTCTTCCGCGGCATTGCGCATCCCCTCTGGGGGGTAGGCGTGTGGTGTCGCGATCGTTCGTCCTCCGTCGTCGTCGTCGTGCCCTCGCTCCGTCTGTCATTGTCGCGTTGGATCCTCGAGTCAGGTTCGAGACCTGGCAGTTGGTCTCACCAGTGGCGGAGTGTTTAGTTTCTCGCCGCTCCTCCCCCCCTTCCTTCTCGGGGATTTGCGGCACGGCGCTGGTTCACTCCAGGGTGGACGTTGTTTGAGTTCCTGGGCCAGAGAGCAGCCCTTCCCATCGGATGAAGCAGACGAACAGGCCTCCTTGTGGCCGCTTCTCGGACAATGCGTCCAACAGGACATTGGCGCGCTTTTGGGTTTCATGTGAGTCATTCTGGTCTCTTCTTCTGTGTCGATGTCGGAGCCTGGGGGCTGGAGTGCGTATCCCCTCCGGTATCCACCGACGCCCTCGGGATATTCCCTTGCCTTGCCTCGCGACCCGTGAGGGCAGGCGACTGCGCCTCTGGTCCGGGCGAGTGGCATCGTTCGCCGTTCCGCGTCTGCTTCTGGCGTCCCTCTCGGGCCCTCCGACCACGAGCCAGTCGCAACTACTTGTCTTTGGCTTTGCTTCGGGGCCGGGGGGTAAGAGGAGGTGGTGGCGGGCGTCAACTGTTGCGCCCAATTGTGTCGGAGGGTGGGCCGTGCCAGCGTTGCTCATCGACCCTCGCTGGGGTGGTCCTCCCCTCGGGGCCGTTTGGTAGGTGCGCGTCGCTGTTCGATGTCGTCTCTTCGTTTGTTGGTTGCGCGCTGGTTGTGCCTGCTGCTGCCGGCGGCATGCCTGTGGCGTCCGTCACGTGTTGCTGCAAGCCCCGCGCCTGTCGTCGAGGGCGGCTCGGGTCAAGCCGTCCTGTCCTCCGTGGTGCCCGGGCGAGCCTCGCGTTCGCCTCAGAGCGGCTCTCCCGGCCCCGATGCAGCGGGGGCCCCATGCAGCACAGCGGTCCGCCTGCCAATGTTTTTTGCTTCCGCGTGCTCCCTTCCCTTGGCTTCATCCTTGGCTTCGGCCAGCCGTGCGCCGTCGGTCGTTTTGCGGCCAGCACGAGGGGGACGGGGACGAGGGAGAGACGAAGGAGGAGGAGGAGGAGGAGGAGGAGGAGGAGGAGGAGGAGGAGGAGGAGGACGAGGAGGAGGAGGAGGAGGAGGAGGAGGAGGAGGAATATGACCAGTGTAAACGCAGAACTGATTCACGATGTTGCTAAACATCCTCCCTCCAAACTCCCTCTTCATAGGTCCCTCGAAGGAGTCGTTTCCACTGAGGGAAGTGCCCCGTTGGGAGGGAATCGTTTGAACATCCTGGAGTACAAGCACAATTCTTGGGACTTCAACGCCACGAGTCAACCTGACTGTTGCGTCTTGACAGTCCTGAGTCCTGCCAGAACGGCATTCCTAGAACTCCACCGCGAATCAACGTAGCCGTTGCGCCCTGACAATCTTATATCGTTCCCAAACTCTTAAGTTTGCAATTCCGTACAACTGTTGCACATATTTACAACAAAGGTGCGCGGCGCTAAGGAGAGAACCATCTTTTGAAAAGGAACCGCCCTCCACTCGTGGAGATGTTACCCACTTTTAAGACAAGTGTGCGCGGCGCTAAGTCGAGAGCAGTAGTCTGAAAACGACCCGCCTTTATCCGTGAAGCTCTTGCATACTCTTGAAACGGATGTGCGCGGCGCTACGGCGATAGGCACATTTTGAAAGCGACCTGTCCTCAATGTGTGAAACTGTTGCCAAATTTGAAGCTTCGGGGTCATACGGAAGTCTCAGGCCAAACGCCCGTGCCGCTCTTCCGAGCGGCTTCGGGGTGTGACGGGGAGGAGTTGTCTAGAAAGAAAAGGAATGGAGGAGGATGATGATGATGATGATGAGGAGGAGGAGGAGGAGGAGAAGGAGGAGGAGGAGGAGGAGGAGGAGGAGGGAGGCAGAGGAGGAGCAGGAGCAGGAGCAGGAGCAGGAGCAGGAGCAGGAGCAGGAGCAGGAGCAGGAGCAGGAACAGGAGCAGGAGCAGGAGCAGGAGCAGGAGCAGGAGCAGGAGGAGAATTGAACCCGCAGAGCGGGAACCAGAGGTCCCCAGATTGGCCTTCAGAGGGTTCCCCCTCTGGGTCCCCAGAGGTCCGCAGGCGATCCCCTTTGGGTCTTCAGAGGTCCCCAGATTCCCGGGAGGTCCCTGGATGTTCCCAGAGGTCCCTGGGGGCTCGGGCAGTGCCAAGGGGGGTCGCCACTAGGGTGATCGCCAGTTCCTCCGGCAGTTCGAGGAGGTTTTTGGACTTTCTTGTTTGTTTTGGAGGGCTCTGGAGTGTTCTTTGGGGGCCCACATCCTCGAGAAAGTGGCGTTTTCTAGAGGAAGTGGCGACCCCCCCTGGTGGTGCCCCCCCTTGGCATTGCCCGAGCGGCCCCCGGAGATCCCCAGAGGCTTCCAGAGATCTCTAGCCTCCACTTGGAGTTTTCCGGAGGCCTTGGAAGTATCAAACAAAGTGCAGAAACTTCCATCCTGGATCCTCGATCCTCGATCCTCGATCCTCGCCCCTCGATCCTCGATCCTGGATCCCTGAACCTCGCCCCTCGATCCTCGAGGCTTGGCGACGGCGACGGCGACGACGCTCACGGCGGCCTGACCGTCTCGTAGATATCGAGCCGCTAGTTTGCGGGACCGTCGCGAAGAGAGGGAGGACGGGGAAGGGGATGAAGTGGATGATGGGGGAGGAGGAGAAGGAGGCTCGATCGAGCAAGAACCACGCCAGCCGTTTCGGGGATCGCCTCTTGGGGCCTTATAGACCCTCAAGCGTCTGTCTGGGATGGATGAAGACCTGGATCCTGGCTTGGGTCCAGGGGCATATTCTCAGCGGATTATGGGGGAGGAGGGGGAGGACGAGGAGGAGGAGGAGGAGGTGGAGGAGGAGAATGAGGAGGAGGACCGTGGCGGCGGCGACGGCGACGCCGAGGACGGCGGCCCAACCGTCGGCGCGTGCCGAGGTCCAAGGGTGAGGTTCCGGTCAAGGCGCTAGCAGCGATCGGCGGCACGGCCGTGGCCGCCCTGGCTCCCGGCCTTTTTCCAGCCCTCTCCGTCGCCGTCGGCGTCGCGGGCGTCGTCGTCATCGTCGTCCTCGCGCCCGTCCTCGTCTTCGGCTTCGTCTTCGTCCTCGTCCTCGTCCTCGTCGTCGTCCTCGCCGTCGGCGTCGTCGGGATCGTGTCGTCGTGCGTGGCGTCGTGGAGTGACGAGGATGAGTGGTTAAAGGAGGCGGAAGAGATAGAGGAACACGAGAAGGAGGAAAAGGAGGAGGAGGAGGAGTAACGGTGTTGCAAGTAACCCTCCCTCCAAGTTCCCTCTTCGCTGGTCCCTACAAGGATTGATTTTCAGTGAGGGAAGTGCCCCGTTTGAAGACAACAGTTTGAACATCAGGGACTGTGCCGAACACCATTCCTGGGACTTCAGAAACGTGAATCACGTGACTGTTGCTCCCTGACAGTCCTACATCATGTCAACACACGGTTTCTCGGACGTCAGCCATAACAATCCTGGAATCTGGCGTGAATTCCTAAAACGAGTGTGCGTGGTGTGAAGGCGAGAGCCACATTTGAGAAGGAACCGCCCTTCATCCGTGAAACTCCTGCACGCTTGTAAGATGAATGTGCGCGGCGCTAAGACGAGAGCCACACTTCGAGAGGGAGCCGTCCCACATGCGAGCTCTTGAGACGTCTGTGCGCAGTGCTAAGGCGAGAGCCACAGTTTGAAAAGGATCGCCCTCGTTGAATGAGGCGGTCGCAAATTTCATCTTTGAGGATCATAAAGGGGTGAGGACGTCTCAGGCGAGCCGTCCGGCTCACCTTCTCCGACACGTCTCGGGGTGCGACAGGGAGGAGCTTCTTACCAGACGAGGAATCGAGGAGGAGGAGGAGGTTCTCGGGGCTGTCTCGGGCAGTGTCGGGGTAGGAGTGGCGATGATGCGGAGGAGATGCATGAGGAGGATGAGCAAAATGAGGAGGGAGCAGCCGAGGGGTAGAGTTGTTCACGGCAGGATCCCTTGTGTCCAGTGTTTTGCGAGGGGATAAACCGAGGGGGGGGACAGTTTCGAGTTTTCCTCGATTCGCGCGGCGCATTGGGTTTTGTGGTACGGAGAAGCAGGAGGAGGAATTGGAAGGAGGAGGAACATGAGAAGGAGGAAGAGCATATGTAATGTGATGATGATGACGGTGATGATGCTGATACCGGTGTTGTTATTGTTTCTGTTGTTGCTGTAGTTGTTGTTGTCGTCGTTGCTCTTGTTCATGTCCATGTTGTGGTTGTCATTGTTGTTATTGTTGCTGCTGCGGTTTTCGACGTTGTTGTAGTTGTTGTGTTGTCGTTGTCGTTGTTGTCGTTGTTGTTTATACTGCTGTTGTTGCTGTGGTTGTTGTTGTTGTTGTTGTTGTTGTTGTTGTTGTTGTTGTTATTGTGGCCGTCGTCGTTGTTGTTGTGGTTGTTGTTTTTGTTCTTGTTTGTTGCGGTGGTGGGGTTGTGGTGGTGACGGTGATGAGGATGACGATGATTCTGATGCTGATGATGATCCGCGGGAGGAGGATGAGGAACGGCTATTACGAAATGATTAGTCGTACTATGAATAGTGGTACGAGTAAGCGGAGAACGATATCAGTTTCGATCGTTTCCGAAGGAGAAGTATGAGGAGGTGGAGGAGCAGGATGACGCATAGGATTAATTAGCATGAATATCGATTGGCCGTCATTTTGTTCGGATCGTCCTCGGAAGTTTGGTTATCCCCTTCTTTATACCCTCCTCCTCGTCATCCTTTTCTTCGTCCTCCTCTTCGTCGCCCTTGTTCTCGTCTTCCTCCTGCTCCATGTCGTCGTCAGCTCCTCCTCCATTGCTTCTCTCCCTCCTCGCCCTGCACGTCTTCGGCTCCTCCTTCGCCTCTTCCTTGGGCCCTCTTCAGCCGCATTCTCTACCCAGCTTCTTATTTTTTGTCTCCTCCTCCTCGTCCTCCTCGTCCCTGTCTTCGTCTTCCTCCACGTCCACGTCGTCCTTCGTCGTCCTCGAAAGCCACCCCATTCTCGGGCTCGTGATCGGGCACAGGCGGGCGCCGCAGGGATGCAGCAGCAAGCAGGGAGGCGGGATGGGGATGGGGGCAGGGAGGAGGGAGGGGGAAAGCAGCGGGAGGGAGTGAATAGGGAAGAGGGAAGGGGGAACAGGAGTAGGAGGGAAGGAGCGAGGGAGGGCGAAAGAGAACGCACGGTGGGTGGAATGGGTGAGACGTAGGAGAAGGGGAGCCAGTGCGCGGATTGCAAGCCAGGTTTTGAAGAAGTACTACGACAGTCAGCAGGGGAACTTCCTCGTCAAGGCGCTTGCACCCGTGCGCTTGCAACCAGTGGACAAGCAGCGTACCGGGCAGAGCTACACATACACAGGTGTACCATATCACTCGGTCTGTTCCTGTCGCGTGGAGTCCACCTCGATACAGGCGCTGGCCGAAACAACGTACCCGCGCGCGCATATGTGACATCTTGTGCTGCTGGTACCGCTTTACTGCCGACGCAATTGTGTGTAGCATCCTTCAGCACCGCCCAGTGGAGCATGCTTGGCAGGCTGCGGTGGCCTCTTTTTCTTCCTTTCGCTTCCCCACGGGGTGGTCGAGTGTTTTATTGCGTGGGCGGCCCGGAAAAGTGGCGCTGGCGTTTTTTCATATCACCATCGGCGTCCAGCAGCAGTTCCTCCTCCTCCTCCTCCTCCTCCTCCTCCTCCCTCCTCCCTCCTCCCTCCTCCTGGGCCTCTGAACTGTCACGAAAACGATTTGGGACGAAGATTCGGTCCCGGGCCCGAGGTCGCCACACTGCGAAGACAGGTCGCTGTTTTTGCGGTCTCCCGACGGTGCCGTGGCCCGGCAGTGTGCCGGCCGCCCGCGCAGAGGATCAGGAGAAAAACCTTGGCGCGGGGCGTGGGCTGCAGAAGCGAGGGCCGCCAGATTACGTCCCGAACTCTTGGGGAACGTGTCCCGGGCCTCCTCCTCCTCCTCCTCCTCCTCCTCCTCCTCCTCCCGAACTCTTGGGCAACGTGTCCTGGGCCATTACCGGCCTTTCCTCCCGAAGATCCCCCCCGGGTCTCCTTCTGGGGTGCGTGTTGGGCAGGATGTCGAGGCGGGCCGGCCCGTGGCCACACGAGGGCGCCTCAGGAGGCGGCCGAGAACTCACGGAAGGGCCAGCGTGTGTCCGGATTCCCGATCCTCGACCCGTGTCGGGTCGCGTTTCGGCAAGAGCTTGGAGGCGCAGCGACCCGTGGCCACGATGGCGCCCCCCGAGGCCCACGAGGGTCCCAAGACGTCGGGAAAGCTTGATCCTGGATCTTCGGGCCTCGGTGCTCCCCCGTAGCGTCCCGACGCCATCGCTGCGCCGCAGCGGAGTGCAGATCCAGGAGAGACCGCGCCCCTCTGCGTGCCGCCAGTCGTGCACCTGCGGCCGCTTTCCTGCGACCTTGGAGGTTTCACCGGAGATGTCGCCCTGCGCAGATCCAAAGAACGCCTCGCGTTCTTGGCCGTTTTTTTTTTTTTTTTTTTTTTTTTTTTTTTTTTTTTTTTTTTTTTTTTTTTTTGTTTTTTTTTTTGTTTTTTTGTTTTTTTGTTTTTGTTTTTTGACTTCGGGGCTCCACCGTGGTGGCGTCTTGCGTAGACCCAGATGAGACCTCGCCTCTTTGGACGCCGCTGGGCGTACAACTGCCGCCGTCGTTCTATGCCCCTGGGGGTCCAGCGGATTTGCACCTATGCAGGACCATTTGATCGAAGAGTAAACAACTGCACAAACATACACTTTCGGAGCTCCGCGCGGACTTCTTCGACCTGCGCTGGACCCAAGAAATCCGCGCGGAGCTCCGAAAGTCAATGTTCATGCAGTTTTTCATTTGTCTAGGTGAGACTTCGCCCTCTGGGGGCTGCCAGGCGTGTGGGCGTCGCCGCTTTTCTGAGCCCCTGGGGCGCCAGAAGAGTTGGCACTTTTGACTCAAATCCAGACGAGACCTCGCCCCCTGAGTCCTGTCAGGCGCGCAGCTGACGTGGAGCGGAGTGCTGCGCCTTGTCAAATGAGACCTCGCCTCTCTGGGTATAGGCAGGCGTGTAACTGCCGCCGTATTCCTGTGCCCCTTGGGGGTCCTGCGGAGTGTCGCCTTGCGCGGATCCCAGTGAGTTTATTAGTAGGCCTCCCCTCTCTGTTTGCTGCCAGGCGTGCAACTGTCGCCCGGTTCGTCCGTCCCAGGGTGTCCAGCGGAGTGACGTCTCGCGCACAGCCCAAAGAAACCTCACCTTCCTGAGTGTAGCCGCGCGTGCAACTGTCGCCGCTTTCCATCTTGGGCTGGTTTTCAAGAGCCTTGCACCAGTCTTGAGATGGTCTAGGGTTGCCCCGGAAACGTCTTGGGGTCGTACCGAGCGTCGGATAACAATTGTTTAGGACCATTTGCGCTCAGCATTGCCCGCCGTCAGTCGTTGTGGTGCTGGTGCATCCAATCTTTGAGCGCCAGATCCCAGACTTGCTAGCTCTTGGCTGGCTCGGCGTTACTGCAGCGGTCCTTGTCCAACATAGCTCCTCGGGGCAACCCACCCGCCCCACCCCCTGCGGAGGAGATTCCATTCGGCGAGGTGTCGCCTGCCATCCTACAGGCCATCAAGAAGGCGAGGGCCGAGCACAAGATGAAGATGGAGCCCTGTGTTTTCGTCTCCGTCGCCGCCGTCGTTGCCGTCGCCACGGCGGACGCCGCCGTCGCCGCCGTTGTCGCCGCGGCGTCGTCGTCGTCGTCGTCGTCGTCGCCGCTGCTGCCGCCGCCGCCGCCGCCGCCGTCGTCGTTCTCGTTGTCGTTGTCGTCGTCGTCGTCTTCGTCGTCAACGTCAACGTCGTCGTCGCCGTCATCCACTCCGATCTGCCAACGTCGCCCTCGCCGTCCTCGCCGTCGTCGTCGTCGTCGTCGTCGTCGTCGTCGTCGTCGTCGTCGTCAACGTCGTCGTCGACGACGTCGTCGTCGTCGTCGTTGTCATCGTCGTCGTCGTCGTCGTCGTCGTCGTCGTCGTCACACTCGTCGTCATCGTCGTCCTTGTCGTCGTCGCGTTCCTCGCCAAGCCCTTGTCCTTACCTGACCCTGGGCTGCCGCGCCCCTCCCGCTCTCGAGAAGGGCGAGGTGGTTCCTTTTCAAGCTGGGGCTCTCGCTTGAGGCATCCTCGACGCTCATGGCCAGAAGTGCGAACTCGTGCAAGAGTTGCGCAGATGGGGGCGGCCGTTTTGTAAGCGGGGATCTCTTTTCAAACTGGGCCTCTCTCTCTCGAGGCATCCTCGACGCCAACGGCCAGGCGTGCGAACTCGTGCGAGAGCTACACCGATTGGGGCGGCCATTTTTCAAACGAGGATCTCGCTGGACACCTCGTTGAAGGGTTGGTCGTGCCCTTGCGCCTTCCTTGTCACTCGCTGGAAGGGTGCGAGGCAGCGCCTTCTCACAGCGGGGCGCTCGCCCGAACGGCGGGCCCCTGGGGTGCTGGTCTTTTACAGGGGGCGCCCGGGGAAGTGGAAAGGAAGGCTGGCGCTCTGTCATCCGTCCTTCTCGATCCTGGTTCCTCCTCGCCCCTGCTTCGAGACCCTGATCCTACTCCAGCCTCGATCCTCCTCGAGCCTCGATGCTCCTCGAGCCTCGATCCTCCTCGAGCCTCGAGTCGCGGCGCCTCGTCCGCCCCGGGGCGCTCCGCGAGCCTCGCGGAGAGGAGCCCTTCGACGGCTGCTCGGGGGCGCTGCACGTGGCATACCAGTTCGCGGAGACGCTGCGCGCTGCGCCCCCTCGGCCGGGCCTGGCGAGCGAGCACTCTCTGCCGTTGCCGTGATAACAGGTCGGGGGTGGACAGACCTCCTGCCCTGACACGTCGATTCAGGAATCGGCCGTTTTCGGTTCGCGAGGGGGCGTCGCGGCCGTCACTTTTGCGGGTCCAGGCCCGCCGGTTTCGGTCCCGGGCCGCTTCCACTAAGGGGAGGTTTACTACAGGGAGGCTTGTCCACCGCCGCACAGGGCGGCGGAAGCATGAGCTTCGGGATGTCCGTGCGGACTTCTCGGTCAGCGCTGGAGCCTTCTCCGGTGGCACATCAGGGGAGCCTGGCCTACCCTCCGAATTCCGTCTTCAGCGTCGGTTCGCGCAGATTGGCGCCTGGCGTCGCTGAGACAGCGCCGATGCAGCGTCGGCGATCAGCGTCGATGCAGCGTCGATGCAGCGTCGATGCAGCGTCGATGCAGCGTCGATTAGCGTCGATTTGGCGTCGATCGGCGTCGATTAGCGCCGAGCCGACTAGATGGTACGGGAGGCTCCCATGAGTTGCCACCGAGCCCCCTCCCCGCACCCCCTGGGCGCCGCCCCCGGCGCGCTCCGCGCGCGGGGGGCTGGGGAAGGGCTGCAGGGGCGGTGGTCCGGCGCCAGCCCGTGCAGCCCACCGCAGACCCCCGGACGTCGATTCCGGCTGCCTGCGGCGACCCCTGCCAGCGTGACAGTGCAACAGCGCAGCAGGACCGAGGCTGAGTGCAGGAGAAGCGCAAATCTTGCGGGCGTTCCGAATCTGGACGGGTGGTGAGTTCGACCTCGTCTTCGTCCGCGCGGCAGGAAGGAGACCCAGTTCACGCCCTGCGGCAGTTCAGCGAGTGGTCTGAACTGGGGAGAGTCGAGATCTCGACCTCGTCTTCGTCCGCGCAATCGGGAGGAAGAGGATGAGGAGGAAGAGGAAGAGGAGGAGGAGGAGGAGGACGAGGAGGAGGAGGAGGAGAAGGAGGAGAGGGAGAGAATGAGGACGAGGTGGAGAAGGCTTCTTGGGGCCGTCTTGAGGCATTCTCGGAGCTTCCTGAGGGCCTCTTGGAAGTTTCGTGGTGCTTCTTGGGCCGTCTTAGGGGACTCATGGTCCGTCTGACGCCTTCGGAGACCGTCTCTTGGCTCCTCTGGGCCGTCGTTGTGCTCTCGTGGAGCGCTTCAGGGCCGTCTTGGCGCCCTCTTGGGAGCTGCTTGGGCGATCTTCGGGTTCCACTTGGGCCGACTTGGGGCCCTCTTGGGGGCCTCTCGGTCTGTCTGGAACTATTTTGGCGACCTCTTGGAGTTCTCTTGGGCCTTCTTGGTCGGTCGGAAGCCCCAACAGGCGAGAACCTCAAGTCCATCGTTCGTTTGGCCTCCTCGGACTCTCCTGGAACGCCTCTTGGAGTTCTTTTCGGCCGTCTTGTTGGGCCGTCTTGAGGGCCTCTTGGGCCGTCTTGAGGCTGTCTTGGGAGTCTCTTGAGTCGTCAAGGGCCATCTTGGGCCGTCGTGGTGTCATCTTGGCTGTCTTGGAATCCGTCTTGGAGGCCATCGTGGCCATCTGGAGGCCGAAAGAGAGCCAGAAGGCAATGTCAAGGGGGGCGATTTTCAAGGGACGCCCTCGGCGAGGGGGGGCGGGGGCGGCCCTGAAAACCTCTAGCAAACCTCCCAGACAACAGAAGAGCAGTCTAACACATCCCGACGTGCACAATGCCTGGGGGCGGATGTTTGTGCAAGTGTTGTCTTCAAATCTCAGGTCAAGTCGGTTGCCTTGTGCGGATAATATGCGGACAGTGCTCGGCGCACGCTCACTCTCCCAGGCCGCCCTTCTGTGAGACTTGCACCGTTGCCCGACCGTCCTATGCACGTGTGTATGTATGTGTGTGTGTATGAATACACGTCTGTCTGTCTGTCTGCCTGTATGTCTGCATGTCGGTCGGTCTGTCTGTCTGTCTGTATGCCTGTATGTCTGCATGTCTGTATGTCTGTATGTCTGTATGTTGGTATGTATGCATGCATGCATGCATGTATGAATGTATGGTTGGATGTATGGATGAATGGATGGATGTATGCATGCATGCATGCATGCATGCATGTATGTATACATGCGTACATCACTATGACCATTTCTTTCAATCTGCCTTCGCCAATAGCGCAGCAAGGCGGAGTGGAGTAGTTCGGAGTAAAAGTACTTCACTTACTGCGCGCACGGACGCATCCTGCTCGAAACTTTTCAGGGTGTGGCGCGGAGTAGTTCCGATTCAATTTTGGGTAACAAAGTTATAAGCATCAGGTGGATGGGGAACTACGCCGCCCGCCGAATGACGCCATCATCATGAGGTTCGCAGCATTAAGATGGATGCGATAGACCTTTGCCATGACCAATTGAAGAACCATTTGCCACGGGTATGTTTGTGTGTATGCACGTATGTACGTATTTATGTATGCATGCATGCATGCATATATGCATGCATGCATGTATGTACGCATGTATGTATGTATGAAGGTATGCATGCATGCATG